TATGAGCACTTTTATCTTTACTACTTGGCACTGAGCCTCCACACCTCAGCCCAGTATTCCAGGTACCTGTCCAAGCTGGAGTGTCAGACCAGACCATTAGCCCCGGCACCCGCCGCCTGAGCGACCATCAGAGGATACTTTCATAGGACCTCCGGCTACATGAGATCTCTATACACGCATTAAGATTGCACTTCTGGTGAGTGGGCAATCTTTCTATACCTTCATGTCGGGATACTGGAATACACTCGCTGTGATTGAAGCCATATGTTTTACCTGGGACTGTTTACCATTCAGTTTATAGGACTTTACCAATTAATACTCATATCCGGCTAATTGTATACATTATTTGTATTTTCTTCATAGCGCTGCACTCCTAATTTTATGTTATATTACATTATTAGTGAGACCCTTTTGGGGGGGGGGGGGGAATATATTAGCAATGTATGCACAATGAACTTCGTACTGCTCAAAAGAAATAGCTTTTCAACTAGTTTTCAGGCCATTTTTGTGAATACAAATTTTTTTCATTGAGATTATAGTAAAGTTATATTCTTGCACCTTTGAGGTCCCAAGTCCATATTCTTCAAAATATAGGCATGATGGGACAAGTCCCTTTATTGAGACTTCATGGATAACATGTTTGATTAACCAACAATATTTAAAGCAGAACTATAAGCAAAAAAATGTTCCCCCCAAATTTGGATTGAGGAAGGTAGGACTGTAATCCCGGTCACCATCTGTGTCCCATTGCAGAGATTTCCCTTCATTTCCTGTCCTATAGCCACACAGGAAGTGAGGAAATCCTTGAAAATTAAGGGAATTCCTTGGGGACCTCCCAGGTCAACAGAACTGGTGTCCCCATTGAAAGATTTCCCAGCTATTACTTTTCTGGGGACAACCCAAAATTTGGGGTTTTTCTTTTACTTTCACTGTTAATATTAAACAGGACACAGAGGGTGAAATATCCTTAATAGCAGCACAGACAGCAATAAAAACTACAGAGTTCTAATCCTTCACTCCATCCAAAAAAGTTCTGACTTTAGTTATAGATTAAGGTTGAATAATGCTGGCCATCAGACTGAGGACATCTAGAAAAAGGGAAAAAACACTGTGGGGGAAAACCTGAATTGGGAGGTGAATATTACAGCAAAGGTAGAATTTGGTCAATGTTAATGGGCTATTAATTTCCTCTTTTTTTTTTTCCTTTTATACAGATAGGAAAGTTTGAATAGTGACAACTTGGCAGGTCTGACACCACAGAGTCTATCAAATGCTGTGTTTTAGCCTAAAACAGGACACAACAAAGTGCAATTCTGGCAAATGAGATTTTTTAAAAGTATGGGATTTCGTTTCTTTTAATAAAAAACAAAAAAAATCATACTTACCTAGGTGGATGCAGCATCAGCCAGTTCCAAGTGTAAGAACTCAGCGATCACCACTGAGTTCTCACAGCCGCTCTGAGCAGAGAGCAATGACTGTCAATCACTATTGTCTGCTCTAAAATAACCAACCCCCCACGCTAAGTGGAGCACAGGGCTGTGGAAGGGGAAGGAGTGGGTGGGCACAGGCTCTCAGTGGCTTGCTGAGAGACTGAGCCAGGTGCTGCTCCAGACTCTGAGGTGGATCCCAACTTTAAAGTGGGGATCTTTCCCCAGCCTGGACCAGCCGATTGACTTCAGCCCACTGTCTGCTGGTCACAGAGATGCAGAACGACCTGCACTCCTGTGATCAAAAAGAGCTTTGGCTGTACTTCTCTTTTAAGCCTCAACATGCATATTAAATTTAAAGTGAATTGTATACGCTCACCTCACAGTATTAAAACACTGTTACAAAAAGGTCTTTAAATAAAAAAAACAACACAAATATAGTGATTGATTTTTTTTAAATGTTTAATTACAGATTTCACTTTACAGATTAATCTTTCTTGGCTGCAGCCTTTCTCATGGCAGCCAACACATTGCTGAGTTCTTCTCTCTTTCTCTTAGCCCTGATGTGAGTTCCAATCTGAAAAGAAAATATGTACAAGCTGTAACAATCAGATTGTCAAAACCTTCTGTGTGTAGCATCCCCCCAGCCCCCCCCTAATACGCACCGAAGCCCCCTCTCGATCCAGCAAATTGCACTGGAGTCTTAGCTATCCCGGGACTCCCACTTCTCACTGGCTGAGACAGAAGCAGGAGCCATTGGTTCCCACTGCTGTCAATCACAGCCAATGAGAAGACAGAGGGGGCAAGGCCGAGCCACTGCTCAGTGTATGAAGGGCACACGGAGCAGTGGGTGCCCCCCATAGCAAGTGGCTTGCTCTGGGGGCGCCAGACAGGAGAGCCTGTGGGGGGACCTGAGAAGGAGGATACAGGCTGCTCTGTGCAAAACCACTGCACACAGCAGATATGTATAGACATGTTTGTTATTTTTTTCTTAAAACAAAATTAAAAATAAACCTTTAGAATCACTTTAAAAAAATAATCCCATTAGATGTGCGACATTCACAGGTACAGATCAATCTTACCCTTTTTTTGATGAACTTAAGAGCTCTTTTGTCCTTTGACACTTTGAGCAACTCCATGGCACGTCTTTCATATGGGGCGAAACCACATACTTCACGTATCATGTCACGGACAAATTTGGTGTGTTTTGTCAGGCGCTGGAAGACAAATTATTGCAAACCTTACAGACAAAACAGTATTATCCTGAAAGCAAATATCAAAATGGCTATTTACGCAACTGCTAAATTTAGGTGGTTATCCATTGGCAATAGGAAAAAAAAAAAAAAGCACACAACTTGTCAGAAGGTTTATCAACTGAATAGACAAATTCATTCAAGGGATCCAGGTGACTCAAGTTTAGGGATGAGCTTAGAGTTGAACATACATTTCAAACATGCATATCCACAATTAGGGCAGTTGACCCAACCACTTTTTGTAAACAAGTCAGGCAGGCATCATGCACAATGTTACTGACCAAATATATCCAAGGCAGGTCACTGTGATTGATGAGAAACTAAATCTTTGGAGGACATGATTTGCATACTCATCATTGAACACAGTTTTCCCCCCTAAATAAAGGGCTTTGTCACGGAGTTCATTTTTATTTATATACGTTTATAACCTTTTTGGGAAAGAGTAATAAGGTGGTATAAACTTGTGAGAATAACTAACTTGGGGCTGTACACACTGAACATGTTTTATGTTACACCTTAAATACGGGTGCACCATGAGACATGGTCTAAAAGGTGAAGTTAGGTTTTAGAAAAGGAAATTCCCTTGCTTCACCAAAAAAAGTACATAGCTTTGATGTGAGTCTACATTTCACAGGAAAAGTAAACGGACAGATATATTGTAGGGGAAGGTAGGAGTTTACAGGATATTAAAAGAAAAGAAAAATGCTTGGAAATTACTAAAAAAAAAAAAAAAAAAAAAAAAAAAAACGCCAACATGATCACAGGGTGCAGCTAGACCAACTTTTCTTGTTCCAATTCTAATCACATTTGATGGTCAGTCAGGATTCTACTCTAGCTTCAACTAAAAGCGCCTGTGTTCTTCTGTAGTCTAGCTTGTAGATGGGAAATATTACTACATCAGATTTGATTATAAAACCCATTAACCACAAAATCATTTTGCTAGCAATGCTAGGCTCTAAACAGTACAGTGATTAACTGCTTGCCCTCTAGCAGTAGTACTGCTACAGGGCTGCGCAAAATCACGTATGTATATATACACGTGATTTGCATTTCTGTGTGGGGGGCGCACGAGCCGGTATTCACAGCTAGAGATATCAATCACTGGTTCCTGGCCGGCACTCCGCGATCGCCATGCAAAGCTGACAGGGGAGAGACTTTGGTATAAAACACAGGTGTCTCTCCTGTCAGCATGGACATGCTTTTTTGTATCTCTCTGCATAGCAGAAAAATACAAAGCAGCATGTCTCCCTAGTAAAACAGCACACAGTAAAAACATACACAGCACAGTTAACCCTTTGATCACCCCAGATGTTACCCCCTTCCTGCCCAGTGCCATTAGTACAGTGTCAGTGCTTTTTAATAGCGTTGATGTCAGTGGCAGTTAGTCAGTTCCCACCCAGTGTCAGAATGCCCGCCGAAGTCCCGCTATAATTCGCTGATCGCCGCCATTACTAGTAAAAAAAAAAAAAGTTAAATTCCAATATATACACCGCCATTTGTAAACGCTAGAACTTTCACGTAAACCAATTTACACGTATTGGGATTTTTTTCAGCAAAGACATGTCGCAGAACACAGTTTGGCCTAAAGTTATGAAGAAATTTGACTTTTAAAAATGTTTTCATTGGATAGGTTTTATAGCAAAAAGTCAACATTGTTTTTTTTTTTTTTCAAAATTCGGTCTTTTTTGTTTATAGTGCAAAAAATAAAAAACTGCACAGGTGATCAAATACCAACCGAAAGAAAGCTCTATTTGTGGGGGGGAAAAAAAAAAAAAGGACAAATTAAATTTATGTACAGTGTTGCATGACCGTGCAATTTTCAGTTAAAGTAACGCAGCGCCGTATCAAAAAAAATGGCCTAATCAGGAAGCGGAGTAAATCCTCTGGAGAGCATGGAGAGAGGACCTTTCCGCTATATTCATCTTACATCAACATTTGCAAATGCTTGTTTTTCACAATCATGAGCCAATTATGGAACTGCATATTTTCACTACAGTACAAGCAAAACATAAAAATAACCAAGTTCAATACAAGAGAGACTGCAATTTATATACTCACCCCTCTCCTGCGAGAGTGTCTGGGCTTGGATACATTCTTGGTCACTGGATGGCCTTTATTAAGGCCTACAGCCATTGGGTACCTGATAGCCATTCTGCAGAAAAAGATACATCTTTCAGTTTTCACAGAAGCAATTTTAAAACACACAGCAATATTAACACACTTCATATCAGCATGGGATCTGTTCACACCAGCCTCCAGCTTTCTCCTGTGTGAGCTAGTGTCAACTGTATATCAGTGGCCAGAAGTTTTGTAATGTGCTGTGTCAGCAGGTTTCACTGCTTACTTTTGTGTGGGGGGTTTTTCCACTTTTCTGAGAATGCACAACCTGTACATTCCATTTAAGGCCTCCACACTACAGTGTATTTGTGGAAAAATGTTAAAGCGGAGCTCCACCCAAAAGGGAAAGTTCCGCTTTAAGGACTGCTCCCCCACTCTCCATTAAGGATTGGCATCTTTGGGGGGCAGGGGGGAGCGGGTACCCGAATTTGACAGGTACCCACGCCCACTTCCGGTCACCTAGGCCAGTGGTGGGCAACCTTTTTTTTTCAACTGAACCTTTTTTTTTCCAACACGTGACAGGTCCCAGAAGACTACAGGACCATTCATGAAGCGCAGCGCTACCCACACATGTGCAGTGGGTACCTGACTGTGCAGCCACAAGCTATCACAGCCGGGTGCCCACACTGAAGATGCTGGCCTGCTGGAATACAGGACTGCTGGTGAAACGGGCTGCGCGGGACACACCGCAGGATCGCAGGACAGGTGAGTGGCTGTTTTTTTAAAAGTCAGCAGCTACAGTTTTTGTAGCTGTTGACTTTTATTTTTTGACAGCGTGAGTAGAACTCCGCTTTAACTACATTTAACAGCTGAGAAATAGCAGATGGCTGATTTGTGTAAAACATGTACACACAACCAAAAACACAGACTACTGTGCTGACAGTATGGGTTACCTGACTGCATCATCCTTGGGCCAACATCTGAGTCCAGAAAGTGGATGCTGCACATTATCTAAACAAAATTCTGAAAACACAACTTGCACCGAGAATACACTCTGCACAGGGTTCCATCTGCTCTCTCCAAATATTCCTGCACAAAATGGAACCTCTTGGTCTACTTAACAGTCATGGTCTCAAATCACAGTGCAGTTTACTACATCAACAGGTTTCCTCAGGGGTGCCTTGGCAAAACGCCTAAAAATTGCATAAAAGCCAGCAGGTGGATGAAGCTTGCCATCTAGTTGCACCAAGCCACGGGTTTTCAATGTGCACCATTACAACCTTCTAGCCACCAATGATGTAATTTGTTGACAAGGCAGACATCCAGCGCCTGCACAGTATCTGTCGGTTTCCCCTCTGTCAGCACTGGGGTCACATTAGCGGAGTGAGGGAGAAAAGCGGAGATAGAAGAGAAACACTTGAATGTCAGTCAATACCAATGTGAAGAGGTGTCTTTGCTTTGGAAGAATAACTCCCCTCTAATGTTGGGTGTCCTACACGTGTGGATGCTGCCGCGATGTGTTATTTACATTTTAGAATGGGGTGCCTCGACATTATGCAGATTTTTAAAGGGTGATTTGACTGGAAAAAGGTTGAGCAACACCGTACTAGATTACTGACAGCATCCTACATATTTCTTTTAATAAGTGCAAACCCAAAAACTAAATTGTAATATATTGCAGCTCACCGATCCTTAGATGTTGTGGCTGCATAATTTGATTTTTAAATAGCATGTTATACTAACCTGCTCTGTGCAGTGGTTTTGCACAGAGTAGCCCCGGTCCTTCTCTTCTCAGGTTCCGCCGCCGGAACTCTTGGCCTCTGCTGAGTGCACCCAGAGCAAGCAGCTTACTATGGGGGCACCCAACAGGCTCGCTCCAGAGCCGCTGCTCTGCATGTTCATTCACACAGCTGCAGCTCAGCCTTGCCCCATCTTTCTCCTCATTGGCTCTGACAGCAGCAAAAGCCAATGGCTCCCACTGCTGTCTCAGCCAATGAGGAGGGAGAGTCCCCAGAGAGCTCTTCTCACAGTATGCTCAGCAGCAACGGAAGTCACTATCTCCTGCTGCTGTCAATCAAAGCCTGTGAGGAGGGAGCAGGGCTAAGCCATGCCGTGTGCGTCTACATACACACACAACCTGGCGCAAGATCCAGGCCACGCACGAGTGCCCTCATAGCAAGCCGCTTCCCCCAAAGCCTATGGCGACACTGGTGGGGGACCCGAGAAGAGGAGGATCAGGGCTACTCTGTACATAACCACTGCACACAGCAGGGAAGTATAGACATGTTTATTATAAAAAAAAAAAAAAAAAAAAAAAAAAACACCTTTGCCACCACTTTAAGGCTAAGGCTGCTTTCACACTGAGGAGTTTTTCAAGCGTTTTTTGCGTTTAAAAAAGCTCTAGAAAACTGCTTCCCTATGTATGTGAATGTATATCCATGTATGTTTTCACACAGAGTTGCGTGTGCAGTGTAAAAACTTTGGGGCATGTTTGGGGCGTTAAAGTGGAATTCCAGCTGAAAAAAATAAATAACAGCTACAAAAACTGTAGCTGCTGACTTAAAATACAGCCACTTACCTGTCCCTCGGTGTCCTCATCATCGCTGGTTTCACCGGCCGTCTTCTCTCCCTGGTGCCGGCATCTTAAGTGTGGGCACCCGGCTGTGACAGCTTGTGGCTTCACAACCGGGTGCCCACTGTGCATGCAGCGCTGCGCTTTGTGAATGGCCCTGTAGTCTTCTGGGACTTGTCATGTGTCCCTGAAAACTATGGGGAGGGACAACTTCTGCTTCAGATCGTCTAGGCCAGAGGTGTCACACTGGCAGCCCTCCAGCTGCTGCAAAACTACAAATCCCATCATGCCTCTGCCTTTGGAAGTTATGCTGGTAACTGAATTTTGCAATGCCTCATGGGACTTGTAGTTCGGCAACAGCTGGATGGTCACCAGTTTGACACCCGTGGCCTATGCGAGTGCAGTGGGAGCGGGTACCTGTCAAATTCAGGTTCCTGCTTCCCAAAAGGTGCCAATAATTAATGGAGAGCTGGGGACGAAGCATTAAAGTGGAATGTACCCTTTTGGGTGGAACTCTGCTTGGGCAGCACAGTGACTAAATGGTTAGCACTTCCCGCTGGCAGTACTAGGGACATTGGTTCAAATCCCAGCCACGGCACCTCCTGCCTGGAGTTTGCATGTTCTCCCTGTGCCTGCAGGGTTTACTCTGGGTACTCCCAGTTTTCTCCCACACTCCAAAGACATGCTGGTAGGTGAATTGGATCCTGTCTAAAGTGTCCCTAGTATGTGTATGTATGAATGTGAGTGTTAGATTGTATGCCCCTTGAGGGTTAGGGACTGATGTGAATGTACAATATATATATGTAAAGCACTGTGTAAATTGATGGCGCTATATAAGTACCTGAAATAAATAAAAATTGCCTCTTCCCATTGAAATCAATGGAAAGCACCTGAAAAGCGCCTCTGAGAAGCATTTTTTGGTGCAGTTTCAGTCACGTGTCCTCTAAAAACGCTCAGAAAACACAGCAAAAAAAACAAACATGCGTTTTTGCGGCAGATCAGTGTGAAAGCAGCACAAGTGGGCACACGTTCCCAGAAGCCAGCGGTAAGTTGCACCCCATTTGTATTTGTAGCCGTGCTCCTGTCATGACACGTGTACTGAGAAGATTTAGGAACATATGAATTACTCCGACATCCTGATCCTCCTAGACGAAGAAAGGAGTAATGAGAAGGTCTGGCCTCCATTCTATTAGTGAAGCCATTGGCCCAGTCTAGAAGCAGCACTTCCAGGAGAGCACCCTTATATTGGCACACGTGTGTGTCCGGCCAGATCTGCTGGAGACACTCACTGCCACCCCCAGCTATGGATAGTCCATCCTCGTCCATCCGCCTACACTCTCCCTCCATTATTCCTGATGTATAATCACCACACCGCCCTCATAATCACACGTCCCAGCAGCCCAGCTCCCCTCCTCCACCATTCGGTGTGATTTCAGCCGAGCACACAGCGGATGGACAAGATACCACATAGATTACAGTCGCCTCTTCCAAACTCATACCTCTCAGCTCTGATGGCGTCCACACCGGAAGGAAGGAGCAAAACCGGAAGTTTCCTACTTACACCGTCGTAGTGAGGGAATCAATATGGCGGCTGTGTAGTAAGCAAGCGCAGTAGCGAGTTTACCGCTCGTACGCTATTACGCACGCGCAATATGTACTGTAGTGTTGAGGAATAGGGCGGCTGAATTTGACGCATGCGCGGTGTATGGCCGCTATGTTGCGCTCCCTGGGCTCTAGGAAAACCGATCTGCAGTAAATGGAGTTGCTTCCTGCTCCTGGTTCTAGGTGCTGCTGTAGAGATTGGGGGACTAAGGCTTCATGTACACGAGCAGATGCTAAACTTGAGTTTAGGAGCTTTTGGCATTTTTTTGCCAAAGCTCCTAAATTTAACTCCATAAAAGCCTATGTGTCCATGTACACACAGGCATTTAGCAGAGTTTAGGAGCTGCTGTGCTTAGGTGAGGTTAAACCTCCCTCTCCTGAATGTGGAAGAATTGCGTTCAGGATAGGAATGTTTTGACCGCCAACCATGGGAACATGCAGCACACCGGTTGCCGCATTTTGTCGCAATTTGCGTTTTCCCGGGGTCAGGGTAGGCTCATTTACATGGAACCTTACACCCGGGTGCAACTTGCCATGCGAGCTGCAAATAGGGTTGCCCACCTCATCCCTTTAAAACAGAACACATATTAATTACACGGGTTCTGGGGCTAATTGAATGCAGCGATGGCACCAAGTTAGTTTAACCACTTGCTGACCACAGATAGCCGAATGACGGCTTCGCCGCAGCCAGCCCTGGGAGGGTGTCATATGTCTTCCCAGAACGCGTGCCCCCAAGGGCGCGATCTCCATTATTGCTGTGTCCTATGGACACAGCTGATCACGTGATGTAAAAGGCCAATCACAGCGGCTTTTTACCGCATGATCAGTTGTGTCCAGTGACACAGCAGATCACCGGTAAATGCAGTTGCCGGTTATTGGCTGCACTTTCCTCACACTGTCACAGCATGAGGAAAGTACTGCCGATAAGAGGCAATTGTCAGAGGATGGATCGGCACTGATGATCAGTGCCCAGAAGTGCCACCCACCTGTGCTTAGTAGTGCCACCCACCTGTGCCTAGTAGTGCCACCCACCTGTGCCTAGTAGTGCCGCCCAGCAGTGCCACCCACTGGTGCCTAGTAGTGCTACCCACCTGTGCCCAGCAGTGCCGCCAGTTAGTGCTGTCAGTGCCACCCATCAGTGCTGCCTATCAGTGCCCATCATTGTTGCATATCAGTGCAGCATCATTAATGCCACCTCATCAGTGCTGCCTATCAGTGCTCATCATTGCCGCCTATCAGTGTAGCCTCATCAACGCACATCAATAAAGGGGAAAAATTACCTGTTTGCAAATTTTTTTAATAGAAACAAAGAAAACCTTTATTTTTTTTCAACATTTTTTGCTCTTTTTTTTTTGTTTATAGTGCAAAAAATAAAACACCCAGTGGTGAGTGCATACCACCAAAAGCTCTATTTGTGTGAAAAAAATGATAAAAAGTTCATATGGTTACAGTGTTGCATGACCGCGCAATTGTCATTCAAAGTGCGACAGTGCTGAAAGCTGAAAATTGGCCTGAGCACGGAGTATAAGTGCCCGGTAAGTAAGTGGTTAATTACCCCCAGAACCTGTGTAATATGTGTTCAGTTTTAAAGGGATGAGGTGGCAACCATATTTGCAACTCGCATGGCAAGTCACACCCTATTGTCCACAATTAAAGCAGGCATATCGGTACAATTCCGACTTGGTTGGAGCCTGCACCGATTTCTAAAGTAGTGCATGCACTACTTCAGGTGCGACTTGCATAGACATCTGGGCAGGTCGCACCTCAAGTCAGAATGGCATCCGACTTTGAAATTGTGCGATTTCACTGGAATTTCAAAGTCGGATCAGTGTGACCAGGACCTAAGGCTCCATTCACGCTTGTTTGACTTTAAAATCGTGCAATTTTCATTGTGGCTTTACAGTGCGGCTTGATGTGACTTTGGATGAGTAAGACTTGGCTTTAACCAAGGATGATTGTGCTGTACAAACAAGTAGATATACTGACAGAAGATGCAGTGAACTTCCACAATGCTCCACAGTGCCGTGGTAGTTCATTGAGAACTGCAAGCTAACAGCTGCTAAGGCTGATGGGACTTGTAGTTCATTCATTCACAGAACGCTGTAAATGAATGACGCGACCATGTGGGTGGAGCCCGGCACAGCTGCAATGTTTTTAAAAAGTGACAGCTTGTACAGGGGAACTTCTCCCTGTACTGCTGTCACGGGAGGGGGAATCAGACAGCGGCTGCAGAATTGGGAACATGTTACATGGTCCACTGTCTGCCTGTCAATTTTATACACAATCCCAGTGGCTGCAGCCATCGGATTGTGTATAAAACCCCCCTCTGCCAGGTCCATATGACGTTTCCCGCCAGGTCCATATAAAATCCTACTTGCTGTATTTTTGGTGAAGGCTTGGTGTGGTTAAAAAAAAAAAAAAAATGCACCTCCCCATTGAAAACAATTGAAAATGCGGAAAAAAACACCCTTGTGTTTTTGGTGCTGCGTTTTAAGTATCGTCCTGTAACAAAAAACAAACCGAAAATGCGGCAAAAACGCATATTCATTTTTGCTGCAGATCAGTGTGAAAGTAGCCTAAGAACTACTAGCGCACTTTATTTGCCTGTTCTCTCACCAAATGGTAGTAGTTTTTTTACATCAAGTTATAAAACAGGAGTGAGAAGAAGATAATACAAATAACGAATAAAAAAAAAGAAAAAAATTATAATAAATGATATACTGACCTTTTTCCATTGTTTCCTGACTGCTCACATAATAATACACTGGGTCCCCTCCTGATATTCTCCAACAGTGAATGGTCCTTGTCAGGGGCAGACTGACAACTTATGGGGCCCCCGGGCAATAAGGGATCATGGGGCCCCTGTGTCCTTGCCCACACTCAAAGCACACCCAAAAAACCCTATAAAAAGGTACCAGGGGAATTTCATGGGGCCCCCTACTGACCCCAGGCCCTCGGGCAGTGCCCGAGTGCTCGAATGGTCAGTCTGCCCCTGGTCCTTGTAGATGTAGAGAGCAGTGCTGACATCATCAGTTGCACTCTTTTAGGTTAGGTTCACACCTATGCAGTTGTCTTTGATACGTTTCTACATTGCGTTTTGCATTTTTGCACCTGCATTTTCGATGCGTTTATGTGTTTTGCGTTTTTTTAAGATTTTTTTTCTTGATGCTAGGCAGATTAAAAAAAGCAAAACGCATCAAAAAAGCATAAAAAACGCATCAAACACGCAGCAGAAACACACCACGTGCTTTTCTTCAGCGTTTCCATTGAAGTCTACAGAACCAAAAACGCAACATTTGGCATTCAAAAAGTCCTTGAACCTTTACAAAAAATGCACCAGTTGAAAACGCAAAGATGTGAACGTGTCTTATAGGAAATTATGTTTAAATGGACTGTAGGGCATTTCTGCAAAACACTGCAGGAAACGCATAGGTGTGAACCTAGGCTTAATGGGGGGGGGGGGGGGGTGAAGTCCTAAACTGGAACAGCTGTGCACAGTAACCAATCAGGTCCTATCTTCAGCTTGTTCAGTTACACTTTGAAAATGAAAGCTGCAAGCTGATTGGTTGCCATGCACAGCTGCTCCAGTCTTAGTAAATTCTACTCTATGATTGTAGAAAGCTCTCAAATAGGAAGGCTAAAGGAAGAACACTTGGTACCTACAGCTACACTAAACACTCAGGTATCATATTTGGATATACAACAGAGGTGACCATGGCTTAGAGCTTGTTTTCACATGTGTGGCTATACTGCCACCCTTCTGAAAATAAATCCACAGTGGATCGCTTTTCAGAGAGGGTTTGACAGGCAGTGACGAGGCAAACCTCTTCACCTGCTGCTTTAACCCTCAAAATGCTGATCCACCGCATGCATTTCAAACGGTTGTGGCTTTGACCCATTCACCTGTTCGCCATTTT